AACTGGTGTTCTCCTTTTTAATGAATGGTTCCAGTATAGCTAGCAGCATATCAAACTGGACCACTGACACCCTGAATACACGTAGGAGCCATGGGGATAATTCTGCTGCTGATTTATCAACAGGTGACACTCTCCTTGTTCTTGTCTTGTTTTCAGGTTTGGATGGACCCAGTGTTTTTTTTGGTATTTTGTTTTTGAAGGACTGAAAGAATCACAAAATCATCTTCACTGCTTGATGAGTACTGCACATTTTCACAATATATTGAAAAAAAAAAGAAATTCAGGCTTTGTGTGCTAGGTGTATGTGCATAACGTTTTTTTTTTTTTTTATAACAGATAAAAAAAATGCATCCGGAAAAGACAGGCTCAGTGTGGTTCAGTTGTAGATTCATGGTGACAAATAATAATTGATAGTTTAATTGCCAATTTGGAAGGCTTAAAAGGTTTTAGAGAAAATGTATTCCTCCATTGTTTATCTTTTTTTTTGTAGGCTTTTCTAAAGATTTGCCTCTTCAGTAGTAACTAATGAGATGAGAGCTTAGAGCCAGAGAGAAGAAAGAGTGATTTTGTGTGTATTTGTTGATAGAAGAGAAATAAAGGTGTCTGACAAACATTACGTACCTGAGCTCCCTGATCTGAGAGCTGTTAAAGTGAGAAATAAAATAAGTCTGTCACACAGCATTTATTTTTACCTTTTATCCTGAGAGATAGAGGCTTTTTTGACCTTTCCAGGCTTCAAAATTGCCTTTAATTGACAGCCGGTGTACAGCTAACATCCTGTGATGACAACAAAAGAAGGATATTTAAGGACAACGTGATGTGTTTCTCCACTTTAATAGCGCCCTTTGCTTATTTCAGTATAAAACGGCATTAATTATGGAGACAGTGAAGTGATGTTTGTAGTCATGAATACAGAGATTCACTTTCATTAGTAGAAAGTGTTGTTAATGACGGTCTGTATGCAGCCTGTGTGTCCTTAAAGCTCTGCGGTAATTAATGGAAACATCAAGTGGTTTCAAGCAGAGTGTGTGTGTGTGTGTGTGTGTGTGTTTGAGCGTGTTAGATGGAGTGTGTGTTTGTGTGTTTCTTTTGTTCCCTACACTCTCTTCACTCTTCTTGTCGGACTTCCAGTCGCACGAGCTGCTTTTTCTGATCTGCAGCGGGCGGCTTGACAACCTTTTGCTCATCCGAGGAAAATTCCATTACAGGCTGTTAGGACATGAGTAATGGCAGCTCTCCGGTTAACCGGCTCGATGGAAGCGGACTAATGCTCGGCCATCAGTTTGCCTTTCTCACAAGACGCGCATTTGGCTTGTGTTTGCAGCCCCTCTTCTCTGCTTTCTCTTTGACTCAAGCTTGAAGGGGAACGAGAAGCTCCAGCGTGCTGCAGAAAATCCAGACGTTTTTTAAGAGAAACTTTCAGACCAACGTGTGCTCCTGAAACACTTGTTAGTCCTCAAGATTCAGGTTCTATTGTGAAATATTACATGCAGTTTTGTCTTTTTTTTTTTTTTACTCCCCAATCCAAACGTGGATGTTGAACACACTCTCAGGGGATCTGTCCCCGGAGCGTGCCAGCAGCGCCACCACGCCCTGCTCCATTTCAAATAAGCTGCGGGTCTATTTTCGACAGAGTACGCTGCAGGCGTAACTCGAAGAGGACCATTCAAATCAGCTTGAAAGGAAGTGGACGTTGAGTCAAATTTGATCACTGAAACTCATTAGAGTTAATAATGTTCTTTTTTATTGACATGATTGACTTCTTTTATTAGTAACTATGGCAACACTGTTGTAAATGTGTGTTCAGCCTGAGTACAAAGCCAATGTAACATGTCCATAATGCTGAGGTCTCAGTGGATGGATGTAAGGATTCAGCCCACATCACTTTGCATCAAGGCAACATGTAGAGGCAGACAAAAAGAGAAGCATTCATATCTGCTTTCTTTCTGTGTAATTTACATTATTATAGCTACTTTTTAATATGGCTTTGAGGTCAACACAAAGAGTAAAAAAAAAATTAAAAAGTACATTGATGGAAGAAAGTGGTTGTTAGTGTGGTGGAAGACATGTCTGTGATACAGGAAGTTCAGAGGCTGAAAATCAATCTTTCTTCTCTCTGTTTCCGTGTTTGTAGTTTGATTCCTCTGAAACAATTTGATTAAAGTGGCTGGTTGACTTAATTCAGAACGAAAAGCCCGGCTACATTTGCTTATCATTCCCTTTGAAGTCTCCTTTTCCCACCCAGCAACGCTCCTTCCTGGAGTCACGGCTGTTTTCATCATCTTTTCATTATTTGAAAGGAGTGAGGAAAACTGCCACTATCTCATTACGTTCACAATTATTTTAGTGGCTGTCAGAAACTTAGGCCTAATCACAATCAAAAAAATAAAAAAGGGAAAAATGTTATTGTTTGATCGGATTTTGATCTGGCAGCGCCTCGTCGTTGTTCAAACGCCGCCTGAAAGACTTGATTTCTTTTTTTTCTTTTTTTACTGCTGCTTTCAAAGGAGCCTTTCATCTGCGTGATTTTTTTGACATAATTCATGAGTCAATCTGACTGGTTGCATGGTGCAATGTCAAGGAAGGTAAAGCACATTAGAGGCAGAGAAGAGACAACGTTTTTACTACAAAAAAAATATCCATCATGAGCGATTCGTTTAATCCTGCAATGAGTCACAAAAGCTTCTTCATCTAGAGAGAAACAGTGAAAAGCCGCCGACGGTGAAAGAAGCCACACTTGTTCAGACGTTTCAAATGCTGATTAATTAACGTGATTCAAGGATTTCTTATTGAATTGGCGTAGCACTGAAAAGTGAATCTGCTTTAGAAAACATCTGAACGGACTGACTCCCTGAAAACCAAAAACAAAGAATTAATTTACTGCGAGAAGTGGAAAATAATGCCGTGAGAAGACTTTGGACGAATGTTTAATTAGGTTTTTATTTCATTCCAAATGTTTATTTTTCACATCCATCACTGACTTTCTGTGAAACTTCAAAGGTTTTTTTTCCATTTTACCTGCTTGTCATCAGCACTTCCCGTATCTTTTTGTCTCCTCCTTTTACAGGAAAGTTGACAACCATGAAAGGAAAGTGGTGAAATCGTTGGTAATAAAGTGAAAATGGTGGTCTTGAATGACACTGGGATGAGTCCAGCAACAGCTCTCAATAAAAACAATGATGGCTGCTGGTGGCGTTGTATTTCCTCTAGAGTGGAGAATAAAATGTACAATATGTCAAGGCAGTCTGGTTTAAGTGTATCCTAGTTCCTGCATCACTCTGTTGACGGTCGATGTGTAAATTAAAGTAACTGAATACATCAACAAAAAGCCAAAAATAAATCCTCATATTTTAGAGTTGGTGTCAGACTATTTTCCAGTCGTTGACGGACAAAAGCAGACTCTTCTCTCCTGATCTTCTGCCAGTCCTGGACTGAATCCAGCGTCACTTCTTTTTTTTTTTCTTTTTTTTTGCTAAGGGAATTTTTTCGCCTCTGGTCTGGTCTTCAGCAGTGACACACTCCATTGGATTGATGGTCTGAGGTCGTGCTCCTGATTTGTCCGGTCAAAGACATTGCAGTGAGTGTTCTTGCTGCTGTATGATGAAGAGTATTTCTAGCAGTATGTGTTGATGCACTCACTGAAATCCGAAGAAAAAAAATGGGTATACTGTTGAGTTTGGAGATGAAAGTGTGAAGCTTACACTGGGTCGTGACATAAAGCAGAAAAAAGGGCACGAATGCAGACATAAAACTTTTAGTCTCTATGTAAACAGAAACACGGCAGCTAAAGGGAACAGGTACACACATTTCTTCAATATCCAAGTCACCAGTGAAAGTGTTGTGTACACTGTATCTATGTTTGCGGTGCCAAAAAGGAACAGCTAATAGCTCATTCGGCATACTTTCAATGCTGCCAGAAAACACAAACAATACTAATGTGAACAAACTGATGATAATGGGGGTTTTTGGGGCCCACAGGTGGGTTCCACAGTGTAACAAAAACCCCAGATTTAGAGCCTTTCCAGCCACAACACTGGGAGGGAAAATGTGATATGTCAAAATCTGACAAGAGCCACAGAAGAGAAATGAACACATAACCTTGTTGCTGCCTGTGCATTAGACTGCGTTCAATAAAACATAAAACCCAAAACTATTTCTGACACTAATGATCCAGATTTTTCAGCATTAAACACACAGGCTCGTGGAGGAAGGGTTGAATTATTTACATACAGTACATGTATGTATGTATTATTCATAGGAAAAGAAGTTCAGCAGTGTAATGAATACCATTAAGTGTGAGTGTTGGTGAACTAGCGAGGGTTTTCGGGCCTCGTCACCTCGTTACCGATCACCGCAAAGTGCTGCTTAATTATTCCTCGCCACAGGGCCAAATGTTCATTACGCCACAACTAATTACTGCTACCACCGCTGTAATCCTTTACAGCCAAATGGACACAGCAGTGTGTGAGTGTGTGTGGCTGAAAGTTGTGCAGTGGATGGGATGAAAATGCTCTTAATTTCCAGGATGAAAAAATGTGGGTTTAGATCACTGCAGGTGGGAATAAGTTTAATTGGCTACATTTTGACTTTGACTCAGTATAAAGGGGGTGATTAGTGTGTCCTCCAGTCACACTTGCTGGCTGTTTAATAGAAAACTATTCTGCTGGCAGATATGTAACATTTGACCAGTTACTCATTTGATAAATACTTGGACACGCACGCGCTGCACTGATCGGTTATTTTCAGTGAACACGTATTAAATAATGCCCGAGATTTTCTGCATTTATGAGGCACTTTTATTCCTACAGGGACAAGGCACTTCATGGGATACGTCAGGCTTTTTGAATGAGTGTTCTATGAGGTAAGGCCAGGCGAGTTTATTTATAAAACACCAGCGCAATTCAAAGTGCTTTACAGAGTTAGAAACAGAACATTGGGAACATTACATTAAAATACAAAACAGTTAAAAGTCCAAAAGAAATAGAAATGAGACAATGAGCAAAAAATAAGCATTCATAGTGAAGTTAATAGAAATTATGAAAATAGGAAGAAAGTCACATTATGCAAAGTGCTAATTTCCATGGTTGCCTTACACTGATATGTGGCCCTAGCTTGTCTACAAACCCAAAATTATGATGAAAGTCTATCCTCTGTCTTTTGTCTGCTCCACTTTTCAGAAAATGTGTGCTCAAACAGGCCGTTTTAAGATTTTCCCTTGATGATATCACAAAGGGCAGTAACCCCTCCCCCAAGAGGTTGACACTCCCACAGCTAGGTGTTTGTTCTGCCCTCTGAGTCTGCCTTCTCACCGTAAACAATAGGGCATAGATCGCGAAAGCTTTTAGTAAGGTGTCATTCTTTATGAAGAAAAATAAATCTGCTTTGTTTTATTAGAATCTTTACAATCTCAAAATTAAAATGTATTACTATTATTTATGAAGAAAAATATGGACATTGGCTTATTCTATTGTCTGAGAATTTAAACAAAAACATGAAAAAAAACAAAAAACATTAAAATCATATTGTGAACCCAGTCGTGATATTTTTTTGCACCAAGGATCTTGATTAGCATCTCCAGTTGAGTGTAGGTGTAACAATGGTTACATTTCTTCTAAAGACAAGAAAAAGCAAGAAAGCACATTGGGATTTGGTAGCCATTAGCGTTGGAGCAATTTGTTGACCAAATACAGCTCGCTACATGAATCAAGGCTACAAGCTTCCACACCCGGCATCCAATATTTGTGCTAAGCTAGGCTTACCACGTCCTGGAAAAAATCTCTCTGTATTTTGAAGCTCCATAGGAATATTCCTCACAGTTAATGAGTATGAAGACATTGCACTGCACTTCCATTCAGTGTGCGTTGTACTTTTCTCCAGGTGTTCTGTTCTGAATGATTTTTCTTTTTAAACATCCTTCATAGAGGGTGAAGGTGTACCCGAGCAGCAGTGGAGAGCTGGTGTGTTAGCGTCTGTCATTAGCTGTTATAGTGAGGTGAGGAAAATAGCAGCGCTTTTGTCTGTAAGTGGCTTACCTTTTCTCATTACTGCAGGATTTCTGTGCAGCCAGCGGACAGTTTTGTCGCCTCGTACCATCAGGTAATTACACATTCTTCATTTCTCATCTCTGCGGAGAGCGATGAAAGGAGAGCCGAAGGAGAGATGAGATTGAAACGCTTACACAAAGAGTTAATCACGCTCTTCATGTGAAGATGTAGCAGATGAGGACAGTTTGACTAAACAGATCAAACACAATATTGCAATAACAGACACAGAAAACTTGTGATTTTTACATTTGTAAGGTAGAACCATCTCAGAAATGTTAATGTTTTCCAAAGCAGTGCAAAAATGTACACTCAGTTTGAATACAACATTCCCCTGCAATAAATGAACCTCAATTAAAGATTTTAGAGGAAGCACATCTGGATAGACAATAGCCCCTATTGAATATTGCGCCCCGGTTCTGCACAGAGCTGCAATGTTAACACATCTTAAACTTCAAATGAGACTTATTGTATGTTTCACCGTCCAATCCATGATGACAATAAGAGATGTCCTTTTCTATAAAATGCCCTCAGTTAATGTTGATTTTATTCTGGTTGGATGAGTATGAAAAACTTGACTTGCGCTTTTAGAGAGAAAGCTTGTTCATAGCAGATTTGAGGTGTAAAGCCGAGGAGAAAAGGCAGAATACGATGTTTAGGATCGAGCTGTGAAAGGAACATGCAACTTTGTAATGACTTGTAATCTATGTTGGAACACTGCAAATGTATTTTTGGTGTCTACATGTATGCTAGGTCAACTTTTTTTCATTTTTAGTATTAATCTAAATCACTTCTGAGGTTTAATTATTGCTCTTCTTTTTTTTTCCATTACATTTCCTCGTTCTCACACATTCATATTATGTATATTTCTCTCAGTATGGACATTAATGTCATCAAATTTTGCCAGCTCACTCATTAGCTTGCTCTTGTTTATTGACCCTCTCTTAAATAATCGAATTACCCATGATGCATTTTTACTTAAACAGCTCCTCATAATTCAGTCACAGTCATTTTGGTCATTCATGCTTACAACATAATATCACTTGCTGCCGTGGGGGGAACGTTCTCTATCTGCAAAATGTCAACATGGCATTTCTCTTCATGTTTCTGTTCTGTTTCCGCAGCTGTCTGCCTCCGACACAAGAAAAATGATGAGGATGTATTGAGCGGCTGATTTATTGATCCACTTCAGGAGGCTGCAGACTGACCTGAGAGAGAAAGAGAGAGAGAGAGGATAATGTTCACATCAGGTTCCTCTAACATGGAAACGTTGACGCTCTAGCAGCGGGAAACAAAAACAAATCTGTTTGGTTTCATGAGGAGACAAGCTAACGGTGGGGGACTGATGTAGCTCATAAACTGCAGTTTAAATGTTGCACACAAGTGGTTTGTCATGTATTTAACAATAAGAGTAGCTGCCTGGAAGGAGACCTTCAATTTCATAAATATATGTTACTTCCTAATTCATTGCATGAAGCCTTTTCTCACTTAAATTTGTCCCTAATATCGTTGCACATTGGGGTGTGCAGACCTTCGTAATACTGTAGCATAAGCATAATAATCATAAGCAAGGCAATAAATCAGGTACTTTTTGATGTTAAGTCAGTGTAAAGCAATACTAATATGTACTTCATGTTTGTTGTACAGCAGAATACTTAATAACCAGCCGAATGGTTGAGGCTATCGTCCTCCAAGATGGCGGCCTTGGTTCAATCTCAACCTGTGGCTCCTTTCCCACATGCCATTCCTCACTCTCTCTCCTGTTTCCTAAGGGAGGTGGACCCAAGTGCAGAATAACCAAAAATATTGAATTAAGCAAAAAGGCCAAAGGCAAACAAAAACTTACTTTTAAAAGTTCAATAAAAAACAGGAAGCCACAGAGGAGCACGAGCAAAAACTGACATACCAACCAACAACATACAAACAACAATGAACTGACACAGAAGGGAAGAAACGCAGAGACTAAATAGACATGGGGTAATCAAACACAAGTGAGACTAATGACACAGGTGAAGACAATGAGGGCAATCACAATGGAGGGAAACACACAGAGGAAGGAATGGACACAAGAAACACTGAGGACAACTACAAAATAAAATACATGAAACACTGAAGACACACAGAACTCAAGAATGAACAAAACAAACTAGAACATAAAGAAACACTAAACACTGAAAATACAAAACTAAATAATACCAAATCGTGACAGAAGGGTGGGATTATGCTACGGAACCCCATTAGGTCATCGAGCCCCCCATGTGACCCGCTCCTTTCCAAAAAAAATGAACCTAAAAGTAATGAATGCATCCAACACGTGTGGAAAGTGGCAACCGCCAGGGTTGCAAAATGAAGTCAATGCAGACGTGCACTTATAAAGTTTTTCTAATTATTTAAAAGCACTTGTCATGAGGTGTTTCTAACAACCAGTTACACCAAATTCCTTTGAAACTTTGGACTAAAGCAGTTGGACGATGTCACTTTGAGTATTGGTAAAAATGTACAGATGTTATCCCTCTCTCTTTTTTTTTTAAAGATAAGACTTCATCATAATCAAAGCTATTAATCTGTATACTAACCTGAAATGAAAACAATTAGCTTTAACCCTGACAAACAGTATGTTTTTGTTCTGCAAACCGCTCTGGAGGAGGTTTTTCTCCTCCAGAGTCATCAACAGTCATGATGATAAAATAACTGAAGAGAGAGAACAAGAGGCAGAGAGAGAGCGAGTGGTAGAGCGAGCATTGCTTTGTGCTAGCCCCGGGCCTCTTGGCCTTGGTGGTCCTACGTGCAGCCTCAGCTCCTCCTCCTCCCCTCCGGCTGATTTGTCAGAGCAGCTTTGTAGCTGCCAGCCAAAGGCCTCCGAGGTTTACCCACAATCCTCAGAGTGCGCTGGTATCCCTTCAGTCCAGAGGCTGAGGTCAGCCACCCGCCGGCCATGACCACCTCACAAAATTTTAAGGGGGCTCAGATTGAACACAACCACGTCTGAGCGTCTCTCAGAGGACGGCGTGAATAATAAATCAGAATCTGAGGCCTGAAGCTTCTGGAAGGAAACGAAAAGAAAAGTTTTATTTTATTCCCCAACGACGTGAATCAGGTTAGAGAAGGGCCGGTCCTGACATGTACTTGGAAGACAGCTGTTTGGATTTATATTAAGTTATTTATCTACATGGTGTGATTTTATTTTTTAAGTCTTATTTAGTTTTCCACAGTTAAAAAAAAAAAAAAAGTAATACAGAATAAGAATTTTGCAGTTCACACCTGCATTCATATTTTGCAAAGTAAGTAAACTCCTGGAATCAGCAGGGAATTCATTCAGTGGGAGAAAGATCATTGATTCATTGTTGAGCTGTCAGACTAGATTCACTTAAACTTTTTTCAAAAAGGGCAGCATTATCTTCCATTCAACATATGTTTCAACACCAATATAAAACACATTGCTCTTTGCTAGACTGCAACCCCATTGTGCTCTGTTTCACTTTGCTTTGTGGCTAACGTGTGCAAATTACGATTTAAACTTCAAAACAAAGTACAAATCTATGGATATAGATACCTGTTTCCCCTATTTCTGTCTACCATGGAAATACAAATGCAAGTTAATCTTAGTGCTTTTTCTGGTTTTATATGCTCTTTAGTGTGTTTTCCAAGTGTCCTGTGCATGTTTAGGCACATCTATGTGCAAAAATTGAAAGTCTGCGGAAACGCGGCTTCTCACACTCCTTCTGTTAGCTGCAGCATTAGCTTCATGTAATGCTCTGTTCTAGCCCCCCCCTCGAAAAAAATTTGCCAGGTGACGTCTTGTCAATGTGATATCATTGATCTAAGTCCATTGGCTCGTTGTGGCAAGCCCAGCAGCTCATGTTGCACGCCCGTTAACTTCTGTAGCACGCCCACGATATGCCGTAGCCTGCGGTAGCACAGTAGTGCTAAGGTGCTAATGTTTTTGCTCCCCTCTGAGCCAAAGTGGCTGCATTCCCAATATGGTAAAAGGGGCGTGACATTTCCGAGAACCGTGCTGAGCGACTGACCAATTACGGGTGAGCCGACAGGCCGACCAATAAAGATCAGACTTGGCACATGTGGGAACTCTGAACGTGGGCACTTAGAGAGTCAGAAGCGAGCCGGTGCATGGAGTGGCAGTACATGAAAACAGACACTTTTTTAGAACTTTCGCTATTGTGAACATACTTTAGTAGGTACGTAGATTAAATATACAAACCCCAAAAAGGGCAGAATATGACCTCTTTAAGGAACCTAAGGCTGGGTCATTTCTTGTTTCAAATGAAGATGCTGCAGACAGGGGGCCTAGCGGTTATGTTGTGTACCCCATGTTTGGAGGCTATAGTCCTCATCACAGTAACTGTGGTTTCTAATCCGACCTCAGACATTTGCTGCATGTCATCCCCCACTCTCTCCTCCATACTATCTTATCTAGTAAAAGCAAAAATATATATTTAAAAAAAGATATTGCAGGCGGACTTCATTGTCTAAATCGCAGAAATACTCAATCATATGTTGCTGCTTCAGGCACTATTTATTTTGTTCGCAGCAGCTTTTGGTTTAAAGATGACCGAATATCTGTAGTTTTTTATTTTTAAAGCTTTTCGATACAATAGCTCATTAAAATAATGGAGATTGTATTTTTGTAATACTCATGGTATCAAAAAAGTATCCAACATTTTGACAACTTTAGTGCACATTTCACCAGACTGTGTTGAGCTATAAAGCTTATGTTTCTAGTGATCGCAAAGGCATGGGTCTGAACACACGTTTCCATGGAGAAGAGGCCAGTCATGGACACAAATCTAAGAGAGTGCAAATTCAAACAGGTGTTGATGTACCATTTGAGCATAATTGTTCTGAAAATCTGCCGCATTTGAACCAAAGTTGAAAGTAAACGGATGCAGATGCAGATTATTTTGAGGTTTTCCAGCACCATCATTTTCAACATCATAAAGCTTGGTGTTTAGAAGATTCTTGCTGAAATGGAAACTGGGAGCAAAGGTCTACTTTTAGGTTCTTTATGCAGTTTTCAAACCTTCATTTTTCTTCAAAGAAAAAGTAAGTTTGTGACACATTCCATTTTTATTTTATCGCTGATTTAACAGAGAGAATTGAATTGTGATCCAAGCTGTAGATGTGCTCCAACTGTGAGTAACATAATAAAGGCAATAGTCTTGGACTTAAAAGGTCACATATTGTAAAAATACACTTTACCATGGATGTCTAACACTAATATGTGGCCCAAGCCTTTCTACAAGCCCCCCATTTATAAGTAAAGTCCATACTCGCAGTCTTTTGCGAGGATGGAAAATGTGTGCTCAAACAGGCCGTTTAGAGAAGGGCAGTAACCCCTCCCCCATGTGGGTGACACTTCCACAGTTGGGTGTTTGTTCTGCACTCTGAGTCTCACTGTAAAAAATGTGCATAGTGAAAGAAAGTCCACCCCACATCCCCTTCCAGAGGGGCGTGGTCAGACACAGCTCATTTGCATTTAAAGCTACAGACACAGAAACAGCTTGTTCTGAGAAGGGTTGAAATAGAGGGGTTTATAGGCATGATCAAATATAGGATTAGAGTGTTTTTTTTTTGGCAAGAAACATCACAGAGGGGTCTTTGGGGAGCTCTGAGACTTTTTTAACCTGGTTTAAAATGAGAATAGAATGTGACCTTTAACTAAAAGACATTCTGAATAAGATTGTAGGATTTGTGCATTTATACAGTCAATCATCTTTTAAGCATTAGGTTGAAAATGATGGAGAAGCTGTTCAAAATCTAAAACAGATAAACATTGGATAATCATATAAATGTTCTAAAAGTGAGCATTATAAAGTCAAGCATCTTGGTGGGTAAAAAGTTTAGTTAAACAAAAAGTAAGCCACCAACATGTCATTACTTTAAATGTCAGGTATAAAACAAAACTCTAAAATTCCATAAAATAAAAACACAATGAAGAGCTCGTCTTCACAGATCAGCGGTGATGCTGCCGTGGTAATGATGAGAACACCTGAGCCTGCTGTCACACCTGAGTTTTAATTAGCTCGTCGCATATCAACAGAAAGAAAAAAAACTGCTCATTAAATGCAAACAGTGAGAAGAAGGCTGCAGTGGAGGAACCTTTTGATAGATATCTAAAAAAAATACATACAATGAAGTTCAGACAAATATAGACAGGATCATTATTAGACTGAGAAAAACTTCAAAAACCTTTCACGTAAATGACTGGAAAAATAAATCAAAGAAAGTTTTAGTAAGTGCATAAACCGTCATCAAATCATGGCTCAACGGCTGGGGTGGATTTCATTGAAAGCAAAAAGGCCACATTTTTCTCTCCAAACAAAAGACAATAGTGAGATTTGGTCAAGTAAACATATCGTGTGGACCATGGGTTGTGTCATTATGCAATAAAAAAAACATAGTGTGAGCCGAAAACTGAATTGAAATTGTAGACAAACTTCTATTTGGCCTTTCGTTTTAATTTGTGAAATTTTGAAGAAGTTTGTAGATTACCAGTGTACAGAACGACAGGGAGTTCTGGATGGTGAGTGCTGCACACTGCAGGTAAGACGCTGGTATCATCTGATCCAGAAAGGTTCTATAAGGTACTATTTTTACAAAGTCCCACTCTTAGCGCTCCAGGTACGTGGACGAGTTTAAACACCTGCACCACCGGGAAAGTTGGGATCTCTCCTGTCCTCCTGTTTCCATAGAAGTTCCCCCACCTCTCTCTTTCGGACCTGTCTAGTCTCAATCTGC